CTCGGGCACCCTGTCTGGCCTGTACCTCCCCTCGTTCTCGACGAACTTGGTGAGTGGTGCAGACCTACAGGATGCGGGGGTTCACCAGTTCACTCCTGCGAGTCAGCGGGTGACCCACTGCACGGACGCACGCACAGGCCGGCACCTGGCCACGTTCTCGCGTCGGCCGGGGTCGAGCCTCTACACCCTGACCACTGAGTCTCCTCCTGTCCCCGCGTCCGGTCAGGTAGCAGCGTCGGGTCAGGTGTTTGCTGCTGCGTCCAGGTCTGGTCCTGAGTCTGCCCCCTGTACTTGTCGCCTCCTGTCTCACGAGACTCTCCTGTGGCACCACCGTCTTGGCCACCCCTCCTTGCCCCGTCTTCGGAGCATGGCTTCCCGTGTCCTTGTCTCTGGTCTTCCCCAGTCTCTCCCTCCTCTCCCCTCCGGGCCAGGACCTTCCTGTGTCCCTTGTGTCGAGGGTCGCCTCCGGGCTACTCCTCACTCCTCCCACTTCCCCCCGACAGAGGCTCCCCTGCAGACGCTTCACATGGATGTGTGGGGCCCAGCCCCCGTCCGTGGGCAGGGTTACGAGCGCTACTTCCTGTTGGTGGTTGACGACTACTCGCGTTACACCACAGTCTTCCCCTTGCGCAGCAAGGGTGAGGTCACTGTGGTGCTGATCGACTGGATCCGCGAGGCTCGTCTCCAGCTCAGGAAGAGCTTCGGCTCGGACTTTCCTGTTCTGCTGTCCCTGCTGAGTCTGGAGCTGCCGCGCGGCCTCGGCCGTACTTCGTTCCGCTCCTACAGCAGGTTCTTGGTCTTTCTCCTTCGGTAGAGTGTCCACAGCCTGTCCACTCGCAGTCACTGTTGGAGCCTTCCTCTCCTCTGCCTGCTCCCTCTCCTTACACTGGTCCTACTGGAGGTCTTGCTGAGCGTCGTGAGCCTGCGTCTCGTCCCGCGTCGCCTGTTCGTGCTGCTCGCGCTAGTGGTCGCGGTTCGCGTCAGCGTCCTCCTCCTGTCCCTGGCACGCACCGGATGTCTCTGCGTCCGTCCACTGCTCCTCTGCGTGCCCCTCTGCCTTCTCCTCCTGAGTCCTCTCTTCCTGCGCTTGCCGACCCTGAGTCAGACTCTCTTCGCGCTGCCAGTCCTACTGTCACGCGTCTGCTTGCTACTGTCGTCACTGACCCCTCTTTTGAGTCCACTGCTGCGTCTGCTCTAGTCGCTGAGCTCGTTGACTTTGCTGCTCGCTGTCGTCTCGACTACGCTGCTGGTCTTGTTGCTGAGTCTGCGTCTGTCTGTCCTCCGTCCGTCGGGGGTGAGTGTGCTCTTGGCACGGACGTCCTAGAGGACAGACAGGAGGAGTTACAGTGTCTAGCGGCTGCTTCACCTCATCTCGCGTCTGTACTACTTGCCCCTGAGGGAGACCCGGATGCATTAGACATCCCGACTCCGCGTTCTTACGCGGAGGCCGTAGAGGGTCCCTACTCCTCTCAGTGGCAGGCAGCTATGGATGCAGAGATGGCTTCCTGGAAGTCCACAGGCACCTACGTTGACGCAGTTCCCCCTCCTGGGGCGAACATCGTCAGTGGCATGTGGATCTTCAGGGTGAAGCGGCCGCCGGGCTCTCCACCTGTCTTCAAGGCGCGGTACGTTGCTCGTGGCTTCAGTCAGCGGCAGGGAGTTGACTACTTTCAGACCTTCTCTCCCACCCCAAAGATGACCACTCTTCGGGTGCTGCTGCACATAGCCGCTCAGCGCGACTACGAGCTTCACTCTCTTGACTTCAGCACTGCGTTCCTGCAGGGTAGCCTGCACGAGGAGATCTGGCTGCGCCGTCCACCTGGCTTCACTGGGACTTTCCCTCCTGGCACCCAGTCGAGCCTCAGACGGCCAGTCTACGGTCTCCGCCAGGCACCGCGTGAGTGGCACGACACACTGAGGACTACGCTTGCGGCTCTTGGGTTTGCTCCTTCTACTGCTGACCCGTCGCTGTTTCTGCGCACCGACACCTCGCTGCCGCCGTTCTACATCCTCGTGTACGTCGACGACTTGGTCTTTGCCACAGCGGACACTGCTGGACTCGCCTACGTGAAGTCCGAGCTGCTGAAGAGACACACGTGCACAGACCTGGGTGAACTGCGCAGCTACCTTGGCTTGCAGATCACTCGGGACAGAGCACGCCGCACCATTACCTTGACTCAGTCACACATGGTGCAGCAGGTCCTTCAGCGCTTCGGCTTCACGTACTCCTCGCCTCAGGCCACTCCTCTACCTACTCGCCACTCACTCTCAGCTCTGCCTTCGGATGAGTCCGTAGAGTCGAGTGGTCCGTATGCAGAGCTTGTTGGCTGCCTCATGTACCTGATGACCTGCACACGACCTGACCTTGCATACCCTCTGAGCATTCTTGCACGCTATGTTGCTCCTGGGAGACACAGACCGGAGCACATGGCTGCAGCGAAGAGGGTATTGCGCTACCTGTGCAGCACGTCGGGCATGGGGCTAGTGCTTGGAGGGCGGAGTCCAGTGGTCCTTACCGGCCACGCGGACGCTTCTTGGGCTGACGACCAGGCTACGCAGCGGTCGTCACAGGGTTACACCTTCAGCCTTGGTTCCGGCTCTGTCTCGTGGCGGTCTACTCGCTCGTCTTCGGTTCTCGGCTCCAGTTGTGAGGCTGAGATCTACGCCGGGGCCATGGCTGCACAGGAGCTTCGCTGGCTCACCTACCTGCTGACTGACCTTGGAGAGCCGCCTCGTTCTCCTCCAGTGCTGTACGTAGACAACAAGGCTATGCTGGCCTTGTGTCGAGAGCAGCGCTTGGAGCACAGAACGAAGCACATTGCTCTCCGCTACTTCCTTGCTCGTGAGCTGCAGCAGCGTGGTCAGTTGCGACTTGCGTACGTGGCCTCTGAGGCCAACACTGCTGATGTGTTCACCAAGGCACTCGCGCCTTGTGACCATCAGCGCTTTTGCACCCAGCTGGGTCTTGTGCCTGTCTTGCCTCACTTGCTCTCCTCTTGACTTCACTTGTACTGAGACATATATATATGCCTGCTCTTGTTTGTCTAGTTTTATATATATGTCTGTACTCCTGCATGTGAACTGGCCTCTGGCCCTACTCTTGTGCTCGGACTGTGTGGTGACTTTGTGATCCACCCTGAGCTTGCTTTGCTTTGCTTGACTGGTCTTGTGACCCCTTGTTCTCCCCCACTTTGCCTATGGGGGTGTGTCAGATTTATATGACATAGTTGTTGTAGGCTATAGTGGGGTAGCACATATGGGGTACAGGGTTTCTAGGGTTGTATTTGTACCCATCTTTCCTTAGTCATTTTCATCCCTGTTCGTTTATTCTCACAACGACCTGCAGCGCCGGATGCGCGTTTTTCTGAGGCTGCGGCCAGATCCGCGACTGCTGCTTCGGTCGCGCGGCTGCCGTGACCTCCTCGCTTGATAATCTGCGCGCTGCAGCTCCTTGCGCGCGACTGCTGTTCATGGCGCCCGTGGCGATCGGCAGCAGCGACTGACTGCAGCAGCGACTGACTGCAGCAGCATGCGCGCCGCTGCATTACCTCACATGTGGCGGCTTCTGCTGGTGCGCGCCCTCCCCTTGCCATTTCGGGCGACCTTGTGCTCGTGTGGCAGCATCTGCACTGCGACACTTGGCTCTTGGCAGGTGCGGGGCCTTCTCACACCAGCAGCTTCCGATGCCGCACCGCTGCAGCTGCGCGCATACTCTGTCGTGACGAGGTGAGTTGCTCTTCTCCGTGTAACTACCACTGCTTGCACCTTGACCTCACTCATGTGTGTTTCTTGCTATTGATGTACTGCAGCACTGGCCGTGCTAAGTCGCTTGTTACTGCTCCCACGTTCTCTTGTGATTTTCCTTGCCCCCGCCCATACCAGCTAGCGAGCGTGAGCGGCTGCAGCCGGCATCGGCACCTGGCACTCTGGCCCACACGTCTGCAGCTCCTGGTAGCGCATGGCTGCTGCTCCTGGCGGCTGCACGGCTGCTACTTCTGGCGGCTCACTACTGCTACTCCTGGCTGCGCACGACTTTCTCCTTCCGACCGAGGTGAGAATGCTTAGTTGACTCTTGTCAGTTTCACCCATGTTACTCTGTTACTCTGTGCTACTTCCCATGACCCTGTGCTGCTCCTCATGACCCTGTGCTGCTCCCCCTATACTAGGTGAACCCCGGAGGCAGCTGGAACTGGTACGCAAGCACCTGGCGGCTGCATCTGCTCCTGGCGGCTGCTTCTGCTCCTGGCGGCTGCATCTGCTCCTGGCAGCTGCTTCTGCTCCTGGCAGCTGCTTCTGCTCCTGGCGGCTGCTTCTGCACCTGGCGCCTGCGTCTGCAAATGTCTGCCAGCGGCACCCCGTGACTGGTGGCAGCAGCATCACCTGGTCGCTTGCAGCAGCTCCCCCTGACGCCCTGCAGCACCTGGAGCCCTGCAGCACCGGGCTGCAGCAGCTTTCCCTGATGCGCTGGCCGCTTGCACTGGTGCAGCTCCAGCACTGGGTGGCAGCAGTATCAGCAGCACCTGCGTCACTTTGGTGAGCAGCACCAGCAGTGCCTGTCTCCAGTTGTCTCCCCCTTCTTCTCCTCTCATTGGAGTCATACTTTTGTATTTAGTAGACGTCAGCTACCTCTTGTGATTCCCTCTGTCTACTTGCCTCATGTTGACTCATGCTGATGTTTCGTCTCCCCCTGAAACCTGCAGGCATATAAAGTCTTCAGGAACGGCCGCTGTAGATGGCGAGTGGTTGTGACCAACCAGCAGCAGCGACTGTCCAGCAGAATATCTGATGGCTGCTGTTGTTACTGATTGCAGTAGGTCTTCTCATGATGATATGCTGACTCTTGTGATGACGAAAATGAAAAGATGGTTGTGAGATGAAATCCTGATTTGTTGCACCCCAAGATACTCCACACCCCACTCCCCCTCTCACTCGTGTGTTTGGAGGCACGCACATGCGTGAGCACGCACATATCACCAAACACATGAGTGAGATGTGTGGAGTTACGTGATGCCGTGTTGTTCAGCTCCCCTTGAGAAGCCCGGACTTGAGAGTGCAGCTCCAGCAGCTTCAATGTGAGTACTGGGTGCAGATGGTGCTACATGTGAAATAGGTTGGAGACCGCACAAGTGGCTGCAGGTGAGATGTTGTTTCGCTGTGAGGGGCTTGGTAAGATAATCCGCAGCTTGCTGAGTTGTTGGGCAGTACTCCGGCCGCACAACGCCATCACGAACGGCCTTCCTCGTCCAATGGTAACGTACGTCCATGTGCTTGATACGTTGACTCATCTGCTCCCCGGTTGCAAGCGCAATGGCGCTTTGGTTATCCACAAAGATGACGGTAGGTTCTTGCTGTTGAAAACCGAGGTCTTCACACAAGCGGCGAAGGTATGTGGCTTCCCTTGCTCCTTCAAACAGTGCAATGTATTCTGCTTCAGCTGTTGATGTCGCAATGACCGTTTGTCGTTTGGTCCTCCAGCTGACAGCAGCTCCTCCCAAGGTAAACACGTAGCCTCCAACTGAGTGACGCCCCTCTTCGTTCGCATAATCCGAGTCCGTATATCCACGGAGCACCAAGTCTCCTCCTCCATACACCAGCCCCATGTTTGCAGTGTTCTGTAAGTAGTTGAACACCCGGTGGATTCCAAGCACTGTCGCTGCTGTTGGTTTGCTTGCTTGCCTGGCCAGCACATGCGCCGCATATGTTATGTCCGGCCGCCCTGCTGTTGAGATGTACAGCAATGTCCCAACTTGTTTCAGCACCAATTGACCATCAATCTCGTCCGGTGGTTCTCCTTGTGGTCCAGGTTTCTTGGCGATCGGTGTCCGAACTCCGGAACGGCTGCCCTCCATCCCGAATGTCGCCAAAGCCTGTGAGATGTACTTTGTGAGTCCGAGTGCGATCGAGTCATTGTCCGCGGCGACGTTGAGCCCCAAAAACTGTGTCATGGTCTTGCTGACCGTTAAGGTAAAGTGCTGCTTCAAGTGTTGAATCACAGCGTCAATGCCTTCTGCGTCATGAGACTGGATGAGGATGTCGTCAACGTAAGTGAGTAGCCACACTGGGTCCTGTCCGTCTCTTTTCCAGATAAACAGAGAGGGGTCTGATTCGGATTGCACCATGTCCAGCGCCAACAAGACACCCCGTAAGTGCTGATGCCACAAGCGTGGTGCTTGTTTCAGCCCATATACACTTCTTTTGAGTTTCCAGACTTTGTCTCCGTCCCGCCTTGGTTCTGGTGGTCTCACGTATATGTCCCGGTCAATCGGAGCGTAGAGGAATGCATTGGAGATGTCCAATTGCACCACTTTCCGCTTTGTAGCAGATGCACCAGCAACGAACACGTGAGAGGTAGGTCCTTGGCTGACCGGTGCATACGTCCCATCATATGTCCCCCAAGTTTGGCCGCATCCCTTGACCACCCAGCGCGCTTTGAACCGGTTTGGCTGCCCGTGCTCATCTCGTTTCACCCGTAGAACGACTCCTTCCGACAGCACTGGTGTTCCTTTTGGTACGTCCGCTCTGTCCACCACTTCGTATGCATCCAGGTCATCGAACTTGGCCAATTCTGCATCCACAGCGGCTTGCCAAAGAGGTGCGTACGGGTCCTTGGTCATTTCGTGAAGTGTTTTTGGTTCTTTGTATGTCAGCTCCACCATGGGGACGTCGGTTGCTGCACATCCCAGTACGTTCTGCTGCTGCACGTTGGGAAATCGTGTGAATGTTTGTCCTGCCTGCCGCCTCCCAAACAGTATGTCCAGTCCTGTCATTTTGTCCATCCCTTGTCCTTCTCCTCCAAGTACTGTCACTGTTGGGTTGAAGTGAACCCGCCTTGGTGGCACGTCAGGAGCAGCCAGCGGGATCCCATCGGGTGGGTAGGCATAGTTGTATAGATGACCTGCGTCATTTTCTGGTTCGTTGTTGTCTGCACCTTCACAAACAGAGATGCCTGCCGCTGGTAAGTCACTTTCCCCTGTCTCTTCTCCTATATCAGCTTCAGTAGCTGCTGGTGGGTCTTCTTGAGCTGCGTCATTGGTCGTAGGTCCATGTTGTTCTGCTGTAGAGACGTCAGAAGATGACGTGGAGGAAGTGAGAGATGCGGGAAAAGAGTCGAATGCTGACCCAACGTCCTCTCCCCCTAAGGTCCATTCCGAGATATGAGGTGAGACTTCATCGATGTACCGTTGGCGTTCGAGCAGAGACTCGGCGTCCGGAAGCATGAGGTCGTCAAAGAAGCGAGCTGAGCGTGTGTCCGTGTCAACGTCGCTTGCCAAGTCCCGTACGATCCATGCTTTTCGTGAGTTAGAGAGGCCGAGAAACATGCCTGCCCGTCCTCGTTGTTCAAATTTCCCAAAGCTGCCTTGGGGAGGGAGATAGTAGCAGAGGCATCCGAAGGTTCTGGCCATGGAGACATCTGCTGCCTTTCCCATCATCATGAAGTATGGTGAGTGTGCGGATGGGTTGCTGCTGCAGCTGATGCGGTTGTGTAACCATGCCGCATATTCCAGTGCATAAGGCCAGAACTTGGAGGAAAGGCTGGCCCCGGTAGTCATTGCTCGCACTCGGTCCATGAGTGTGCGGTTAACCCGTTCGGCGACTCCATTCTGCTGTGGCGTATGTGGTAAAGACGTTTGGTGATTGATACCGTGAGAACTCAGGTAATCCGTGAATGCGTTTGATGTATACTCCCCCCCGTTGTCCGTGCGCAAGGCAGCCAGCGGCATCTTGGGCAGCTTGGTCTTCATCTCACGGTGCCAAGCCGAGAAAACTGCAGCCATGTCGGACCGGCGAGCCAACGGCGCCACCCACAGGTAGTTGGTGTAGTCGTCCTTGAGCGTCAGCACATAGCGAAGGGAAGGGTGAGCATCACCCAGGTCCATGATGTCGCTGTGCACGAGCTCCAAAGGTCGAGTTGTGGCATTGGTGCTTCCTGTGGGAAAGGGGTTCTTGCTCATCTTCCCTCGAAGACATGAATCACATGGGGGTTTGAGAGGGTTAGTCTTGTCAGATATGGTGAGTCCTTCAACATCACCATTTCGAAATGTTGCATCCATGGATGTGTATGATGGGTGACCCAAGCGCTTGTGGGCCATGCGATATGTGATGGATGCATGAGCAGATTGCACATTCGGCCCTCCAAGGTCAGTCTCATTCAATGCTTCATTCGGATGATCATGACCAGATGCATGGGCGGATGCAAGTGCAGGCTCATATTGCACCATTAGCACCCCATGCATGACCATTCCAACTCCAATGAGTACATGCTCATCCCCATCCGCCATTGTGATATCCGTGCGCCCATCTTCACGTGTGTGAATGCGAGCTCCCTTCTTGTGCAGCTGGCAATAGGAGAGCAGGTTGGACTTCAAGCCGGGTACGTAGAGTACGTCCGTGTAGCGCACCGTTGTTCCATTGGGTGCCGTTGCTCGGATTGTTCCCGCCATCGAGCTCAACAGGTGGCTTCCGTCAGCAAGCTCCACATAAACGGGTTCGTTCAGCTCCTCTAGACCCTCAAACCACTCCTTTTCCGAAGTCATGTGTTGGCTGCATCCGCTGTCCAGCAGCCACATCGACCCTCCGGTTGACGGTGATGTTGCTTGCGACGATCGAACCGTTGCAATGCATGTCATGGTTCGTTTGTTGTCTCCCCCGCCTGCCCCTTGCTGTTTTGTCGCTTGGTTGTCACGTTTCGGACTTTCACTCCTTCGCGGCGAGGACGAGCGGCTACTCCACGTGCGCTGGTTGGTTCTCCCTCTGTTTTGTGGTTCCCAACCTGGTGGTGACCAACCCGGAGGCGCCTTCGGACACTTGTAGAACGGGTGGCCAGATTCCTTGCAGTACCAACACACAAGGTTAGACCGTCCTCCCGCTGACCTTGCCGCATTCCGGTTGTCCTTTGTCTCGGTTCTCTCTTTCGCTGGTGAATTATCTCCACGTGCTTGGCCAGCCATGCGGGGAGGACGCTTGTCACGGTTGGTCTTGCTAATGAGGTCTTGGTAGCGTTGTTCCTGAATCATCATTCGTTGCAGTGCGTAGCTGTCCGAGATGTCGTGTAGCATTGCCGAATGCCTCAACTCCTCCCAATGCGGTGGCAGCCCGGTGATCAAATTTAAGGTGAATGAATCTTCATCCACCATTTTTCCCGCCATTGCCAGCTTATCCCGAATTGCAGTTGCTCGGTTGATGTAGTCCTCCACTCTTTCTTGGCTCCCCATCTTCAGGTTGTCCAATTGCCTCTGGAGAGACGCCTTTGCCACCGAATCCTTCGCCTGGTAAGTCTCCATCAGGTACTCCCATGCTTCGAATGCCGGACTGTATGACTCTTGGAACACGTCAAGTTGCAGCTGAATCGTTGCGCTTACGCTATGCAGAAGCACCCAAAAAGCCAGCGTAGCACGTTGTGAGTAATCTGCTTGTAGAACTTCCAGCCGTTCCATTGCATCTCGCATTTCTCCTTGCACCATTGTAACCGGGTATTGTAGCGTCACGAAGAACTCCCACAGGTTTGTCACGCGCGCGTTCATGCGAAACCGAAGAGCCCACTCTCGAAAGTTAGTGCCGTCGAATGGAGTTGTTGTGAACGCTTTGTCCACTGCTGCTCCCACCATTTTGCGTGACAACCTGTCCTTGTCTTCTTCCGTGTACTCGCGTGGAGACGGGTCGAAGAGCGTAGGCACGTTAGATGGTCGAGGTAGTTGTACCGTGCGTTGTGTGCCTTCACGTTCCACCACTTCCACTTGATCACGTCGCATAACACCACTTGACTGCATCCCGTGCCCCATGCGCCCCATGCTTCCTGCAGGTGCAGCTTCCATTTGAAACTGTGGCGCACGAGGAGGTACGACGTTGTTGCCAAAGAGGTGAGATCTGCCCATCACGGGAACTCCAATGGGATGGGAGTTAGTAGCGAGACGTCGCAGTGGGGGAGCACCAATAGTGTAGGATTCGAATCCCACACCTTCCATGCCCACATGACTGCTTCGACCACTCCCTTCCCCAATCTGCCCTCTCATGTTTCTTCCCACGCCGATCCCATCACCATGCTCCATCACATTTGTTCCACTTCCGTACGCATCGTCCCTCCCCGTTGCTGCCCTTTGCATGGTTGATTGAGGTTCGGGGTGGGAGCTCCCCTCTCCTTGGAAGGATGCATCCCTCCCTTGGGATGACTCTCCTCCTTGGGGTAAGCTTCCCTCTCCTTCACCTTCAATCCCTGCATCCATATTTGAAGTACGGGTTTGGTTAGTACGCGGAGTGCTTGCATGTGACTGTTCACGGATGGATGGGTTGCTGAAATCTCGAACTTGGGCTGGCATGTTGAACTTTGCTCTTAATGACGCTTGGAGTGTTGGTGGTGCCCTTGCAATCATGTTCTCCAGGTGCTCATGTTGAGCCATGATGGCTTCTTCAAACGCCTCGTATCCAGCATCGACTTCATCGTCGAATCGCGCCATGCCTCCAATCCAAATGTTGTCACTTGCTGTGCGAGTTTGCTAATGTCCCTGTCCAATGTGAATGCTGACAAGGTTCTAACCAAATTTCGGCAGCATGCCCCCTAGAGTAGCTCTGATACCATGCTAGAAAGGCATAGTGCCGGCGTTGCGGAAGCTTGATTGTAGAATAAGTAGCAAGAGGAACTTGCAACTGAAATGATTCAGAACAATAGGATGATTATGAAATGACAGAGCAGGGTATTTATCTTGACCAGCTAACCCCTTCAGGATGGTTCTATCCACACCAACAACGCCACACCAATAATTCTACCCGCCAATAATTCTTACCCTCCAATAATTCTAGACTCCAATAATTCTGACCCTCCAATAATTGTACAATTATTGGAGGGCTGAGAGTCTTATAAAGGAACACTACAGTAAAACCTAACAGCATTAGTATCATCTTATGTTTGTATATTTAACACGCACACCCCACAATTCATTCGTTACCATTACCACGCTAGTTTTCGCTATATGATTCGCTCATTCTATTCACCCATTGCACTTGTTGCTTCGATAGTGCAATCGCTCGTCGCTCAGTTGCACCCATAGCAGCATGCTTCAACCATCTAACATTTGATGCTATTTACATAAGATGCCTACTTAACACGGCATGTGAAATATAGTGGATCACATCTCTATTCTTCATTATGTCTGTTCTGGTACCTGTTTTTTTACTTTTACAATGTGGGATTGCATCTAGGCTTGGATTTAGGTTCCTTAAAGCCTAAATATTAGCACCATCTTTGCAGTTATCCAGAGTAGCAGAGCTTCCCTTAGCGCGAACGGCCTCAAGGTCAACTCATTTCCGCCGGTTCGCCACCGCTTTGCAATCCTTTGAAATTGGCGTGTGGCCCAACCTGAAGCCTGATTCCTCGAGTCCTTTCTGACCGACTCTTGTTCACTAGTCCTCTCTGGTACGACCATTTTGTCAGTGCAAGTCTTTTCCGCTTAGTCTTCTTTCCTCAGCACCGAGTCTTCTTTCTTCAGCGCCGAGTCTTCCTCTCTCCGAACCGAATCTTCTTCTCTTAGAACCGAGTCTTCTTACTCGACTGTAAATCTCTCTTCACGGCTGCGTTTGCCTTGCCCCTGACGGCGTCGTTCTTCAGCATCACGCGCATTTCCGTACCATTTATTCGTCTAAGACATGTCGTCGTGCAGTAGCGTTACGGGAGTCATTAATCAGCATTTGTGTAGTAATACTTTCAATAGCGGTATCTTACGGTAACAAATCCTCGTCAAATACTTCCACCAGGAGTGACAAGGGCTGACTAGGAGTCGCATCTGTTGAAGCACCCAGATTATCACCACGAATGAGGCGAAGATGTCGTCGCGGTATGACTCTGGTCTTCGTGTTTTTATTCCTACGCCTGGACTGTCTCTATCAACTCGTTACAGGAATCTTCCTTATCTCGTCGTCATCAATCCAAATAATTGTCAAAACTTTCCGTTTCCTGCTCTCCGTTGCCGTTTCAGCCACTCGTTGCGCGATGCTCGAGTTCGCGTTAGAGCCATCGGCCGTCTTTTGGATGAGGCGATGCTCTCTCACCAGCAAGCCATGCACGCCCTTCAAACCGTTTCTTTCCTGGAAACTTCTAGGAACTTGAAAGAAGATTGTGTTAAGCTTCAGAAACCTGAGAGGCCAGAGGGTCCTGAGAAACTCAAGTCATTGCAGAGCCCAGATGGCTCCGCGAACCCCGTTTGCAATGGGCGAATGAATCTCGAGTTTGCAAGGGATTGTAGTTTTGGTGCGGAGGGTCAGAGCAGCGGGGGAAGGGATTGTGATGGTGGGAAGCCCGTGGCCTGGCTCTCAGATGCGGAGAAGAGGGCGATTTTGGAGCAAGAACAGGTGGTTGGCGAAGTGCTTGTGAGTGGTGCTTGTTTGAGGTTCGTGTGAGTGGTGCTTGCATGTGAGTACTGCTTGAGATTGTTGCTTGTTAGTGGTGTTTGTGAGTGATGCGTGTGAGCAGTAAGTGTGAGTAGTGCTTGTGTCTGCTCCCCCTCTTTCGTCCTTTCCCTTTTCGGAATGTTTTCCGTTCGTTTAAACAAGTGGTATTGCTCCTATGCAGACCTCCACCTTTCCTACACCAGGCTGACTGGTTGGATGGATGATTCGTTTTAAGGATTCTTGAAGAAGTATTCAAGTAAAGTGTCGGTTCCTTATTGTTGCCGTGGCAGGCGAAGGTGGACGAACAGTTGCGAGAGCTGCATGACATGCTCAAGGTGAGCGACTCAGCCCCCCTCATTCACCTGCGCAGACTTTTGGATGTCTAAAAGCCGAGCAGATGCGACAGCTGCATGACATGCTCAAGGTGAGCCCATGGCAGTTCCGGAATGTCAACCATTCTTTGCAACACCGACTGCACTAATACTTTATCAGCCTCCTGACTCCCTCCTTTACCATTCTTTGCCTGCATTATCTCAGCCTTAACCCCTCGCTGCCTCGTTGCCTTCTTGCTTTTCCCTGTGCGCTATGCCCCCCGGTCGCCCCAAAGAGCACAACGTGCATTTCTAGTCAAGGCAAGCCATGATTCGAAAAGCGAGTCTTAAGGTGACTCATAATCTTAAGGTGACCCATAGTCTTAAGTATACATGGGCAAACGAGTCGAGTTTTTACTTGACACGTTTTAGGTACTCGAAATTCATGAGTTTCGAGTTTTGATTTTTGAAAAAAAAAAATCGTGAAAACGAGTCGATTTTTACTCCCAAGTTAAAAAAAACTCGTGAAAACTCGGCTAGACAGGCGATTTTTTCAAAACTCGCGAGTTTTGTTTATCCTAGACGAGTTTTAAAAAACTCGTGTGTCAAATGGCCCTCCAGAGGGGGGGTACAAATGTCAGGACTTGAATGCTAGCCCTGGTTTCTGGGTTAGTGTGCTGCGGGAGGTGTGACTCGCTGTCTTGGATGTGTTCCACCGCTTATTTGTGAACACTAGTGCAGGTGGCGTGGTGTTGAGTAACTTGGTTGGAAAGTGAAAGGGGGGAGGAGAGGTGTGGCAGGCTGGGATGTTTGTGGGTGTTGACGGGTGGGGCAGTTTTCAGGGCACCCTAAAACTGTTTTCGTGTGGCTGGGGTTGGTGACTGGGATATTGTTTAAGCGCGAGTCGAGTTTTACTTGACTCGGACGAGTTTTTTGAAGACTCTTCCGAGTTTTGAAAAAACTCAACTTAGAGGCCGAGTTTCGAGTCAGCATTTTGACAAAAAAAAGCTCGACAAGGAAAACTCGACTCGACTCGTCAGTGAGAAAAACTCGGCAAAACGAGTCAAGTAAAACTCGACTCGCCATTTGCCCATGTATAATCTTAAGGTAACTCATAATCTTAAGGTGATTCATAATCTTAAGGTGACCATGATCCTTGCCTTCCTCTGTGCCTTCATGGTCAGCGCACGGAGCATGATGAACGTTTGCACCAAGGCGACCCATGCTTCTTTAGGTGACTATCGATGTGACTCACAAGTCTCATTCTTGCTCCCTTCTGTTCCTTCCTGGCCTCTGCACAGAACATAACGTGTGTTTGCAACAAGGCGAGCAATGGGCTTCCACCAAAATGGTTCGAGGAAGGATCTGAGGACTTACGGGGAGGAGGTGGAGGAGGAGGAGAAGCAGTTATTGCTGCTGCAGCAGCGGCTGCGGCGGCGGCAGTTGCGGGAAGTATTGGAAACAAGGTTCGGTTAGTGTTAGTAGAGGATGTTGTAACGAGGATGCAGGAGCAGCAGAGGCAGCAGAAGCAAGTGGAAGACCTGAAAGGAATCAAAGGTAGAGTTACTCATAGCTTCAGCCAGAGACACGAGCAGTTGCATGAAGAGCAGCAAGGGCAGCAGCAAGAGCAGCAGGAAGAACTTATTGCAGCAGCAGAAGTGGGTCAATTGAAAGAGAAACTGGGGAGTGTGAGTGACGGCAGTCTGAAGCTCGAAGCCGAAGTGAACACGCAGAGAAGCCGGATAGACGAGAACGAGAAGGTAATTCTCGTTTATGCCCACGCTGCTTCCCCCGCCCATTCCCTAGTCTTTGAAGTCTTTCTGCGCTATCAACTGGTAAAATCGTCGTTTTTATCACAGGCGTTTTATTTAGTCGACCCGCACATGCCTGTTCCTACTGTCTCCGTTCACGTCCTCCCCATTCCAGTCTGCTTGTCACAATCCCACCCACCACCTCCTTTCTCCCACCACTTCTACCCACCATCTCTCTCTCACACCACCTCCCTCCCACCCAATCCATCCCCCTCCTTTTCCACGTGCCCTCCTATCACACACCTTCCTACCACATGCCCTCCCCCCACAGGCAACAGCCCACCTGATGCTCCACTCATTCCCCATCGCCCTGCAACAAGGCTGCCTTGATTTCACACCCTACCCCACCGTTTCAGACCGGGATGTATCCCTCTTCATCCGCGCCCTTTCCATCCTTCACCCTTCCATCCTCCCCACCATCTCCAAACTCATTTTCGGGCGGGAGGATGCCACGTCAGCTTGCAAGGCCATCACTGGAACTTTTCTTCTGCCCGGGGCAGGCGTGCTTCAGTTTGACAGCCTGACCGAAAACCTGAAAGAGCTCCACATGGCGGGATGCACAGGGATAACAGATGACTCACTTTGCCACCTGTCATCGTTCCATTCGCTGCAGCGACTCAGCCTCATCCTCTGTACAGGCCTCTCTGGTCCTGTTATAGCCCATCTTTCCAAGTGCCCTTCTCTTAGATCACTGTTCATATCTCACACACCCATCCGGGAGGAAGGTTTAGGCCACCTGTCTACAGTAACTACACTACGAGAGCTGTGGTTACACGGATGCAGCATCAGCAGTATCGGTATGCATCACCTGGGAAAAATCAAATTTTTGGAGATTCTGTCCCTGGGCGGCTGTGTGGGTTGCGCCGTTCGTCACGATATGAGCGCGTCGCTGCTGCACCTGTCTCACCTGCGGTCTCTCAAGGAGCTCTGGCTCTGGGGCTGCGATACAGTCACGTCAGATACAGTCACACCTGCTGCTGTTGTGTCCGCTACAGTTGCATCTGCTACAGCTGCTACAAATGCTACAGCTACAGCTCCAGCTGCTACTGCTACAGCTGGTACAGCCTCATCTCGGCCTTACTTCACCAGCTACCAAGCTACATCTCTGAAACAGTCTTCTGTCTCCTCCTCCCACCCATCTGCCAAGCCTCTCCTTGCATCTACCACCCCCTCTTCATCTGCCATCCGCACTCCATCTGCCTCCTACCTCTCATCTACCAAGTCTGCCTGTGTGAAGCTCACAGACAAGGGCCTTTCGCTCCTGATGCACATAACTACGCTTAAACGTCTACACCTCAAGGGATGCCAAGCCGTTACAGACGATGGGTTTGCGCTAATTGCCGGCTTGCGATTGGTGCTCCTCGAAGCAGATGCATGCCATGCCATCTCCGATAAAGGCATTGAGAAGCTGTCTCGTTATAAGCCTCCAGGGCAGGAGTACTACTACAGTGACCAATACCTGGCACGGTCGTTACAGGAGCTACACCTGCGGGGTTGCTTCAGGTTAACGGACTACGCATTAGGGTATGTATTGCAGTTTACCTCGTTACAGAAATTAACTCTAGATGACTGTTCCGGCTTCACAACGCATGGGATCAGTGGGTTGAAGAGTCTCAAGAGGCTCAGCTTTCTCTGCTTAAAGACATCTCCTAGGATTAGTCAAGAGCAGCTCAGCAAATGCTTGAATTCGTCGGTGAATGTTTCAGATCCATGAGTAATATATAAGCTTTGTGGCCTGTTTGGCTCTTTCTTCCTGCATTTCTTTTATTTTCCATTGATTGTTTTCTTCATAACACACAATAACAGCGCGATGCCTCTGCATATATTGTTTAGCCCCATTTATAAGAAGACTCTGGTAACCAGATACCAGTACGAATCCATCTAGTGCCTGGCATATGCCTTTTGCCAAACAACCGCACATGTGAACGATGACTCGGTTACCACTGGAAATACGGCAGCACATATGAAGGCTCCGCACCCGTTTCTTCAACCAGCACCCTCAACTTCCCCACATCCACTCCCCCCTTTGCCTCCCCCTCCACCTTCCCTCTTCCCTTTCCCCCATTCTCGCTCTTCCTCACCCTTCTCCCCTCCTCTTCCCCATTCCCTACTGCTGCTGTTGCTGGTGGTGGTGGTACCCCTAGTTGATCAGCGTGTATCCCCCCGGCCACAAACACGCTGTCAATGCCGAAAGATGCCGCCCCTAGAATGTCGTGGTGCAGCGAGTCGCCGACCATGACTGTGCGGTCGAGAGAGATCCCGGTCAGCTGCTGGGCTGCCCGAAAAGAAATCTGGGAGGGGATGATGGAGGAAAGTAGGAGTGGGAGCAAGCTTTAGAGAAATAAGTGGCTGTGGGATGAATAATAACGCCCGACAAAGAGCAGGAAATCATGAATGAAACAAAACGTTCACTTGCTTGCACTAACAAGCCAGAGCCCCATGCATAAACATTACAATCCCCACCTCCACCGTAATGGTGTCAAGGTCATAGGCACTTGGAGGGGGTGGGGGTGGGGGGGGGCAAGAGATTACATACTGGGTCTGGTTTCCCCCTGCACTTGACCACACCACCCATCTGCTCGTATTGCCGAGCCAGAGTTCCAGGCATGACCCTCAAAGCCCAGGCCTCCACCGTGACTATTTCAGGGTTGTTTCAAAAGAACCACTTACTGGGTCAGGTTTCCCCATGCACTTGGTTTTGAGTCGACTCAATACTGGGTCAGGTTTACCACTCACAGAATCTGGTTTCCCCATGCACTTGACCACACCCCCCATTGCCTCGTACTCCCGAGCCAGAGTCCCAGGCATGACCCTTAAAGCCCGAGCCTCCACCGTGACTATATCGGGGTTAGCCACGACCATCGGAATCATCCTGCCTCTCCGCCGCCCCTCCTCCGCCGCCCGGCTCATCAGCCCTGCCAGCTCATCCAGTGAGGCCGGGCGGGCGGGTTTGTCTGCTTCTGCGACCCCCACTGCCTCTGTGCCGTGCGCGAGGATAAAATCTGCTTCTTCTGGTGTTTCCACCACTTGCAGTCCCAACCCCTGTTGTGGTTAGGGGGATGGAGGAGAGGAAGAGGGGGTAAGGTGGGATGAGGGTGGGTAGTGTTGGATGCGTGTGCAACCCCCACTGCCTCCGTGCTGTGTGCGAGAATGAAGCCTGCTTCTCTGGTGACTCCCCCACTTGCAGGAGGAGAGGAGGAGGGAGCAGGACGATCATGCACTGGCACCCGATGGAATGAGCGAGTGACAGAGTGAGTGAGTGAGGGAGTGAGTGAGTGAGTGAGATGGTGAGAGGTGAGTGGGACACCCCGGACTAATACCCCCTGATCTTGCTTTTCTGTTGGCTTGCACCAATCACAGTAGGGAATACCTGTCCTTGATTGTACACCTTATGATGAACAAGGACAAGGACGTTTTGAGAGAGTGAGTGTGTGTGAGAGTGTGAGTGAGTGAGAGAGTGTGAGTGAGTGGGAAAAGCAGCAGTGTAACCACCCACAAGAGGAGAGGAGACGGGGAGGCCTGAGAGACCACACAACCCCCATATGTGTAAGCCCAAGGGTAACCCTGCCAGCCCAGTCCTGCCAGCAAAGCTCTCCCTGCCAGCCCTGCCAGCCCTGCCAGCCCTGCCAGCCCTGCCTTCCCTGCCCCTTCTGAAAAGATGTCTCATTATGCGCTGACCAGTGTCTGTGTGTAGTCCTTCCTTTCCTTCCTGCCTCCTTCCTTTCCTTCCTGCCTCCTTCCTTTCCTTCCTGCCTCCTTCCTTTCCTTCCTGCCTCCTTCCTTTCCTTCCTGCCTCCTTCCTTTCCTTCCTGCCTCCTTCCTTTCCTTCCTGCCTCCTTCCTTTCCTTCCTGCCTCTTTCCTTTCCTTCCTGCCTCCTTCCTTTCCTTCCTGCCTCCTTCCTTTCCTTCCTTCCTGCCTCCTTCCTTTCCTTCCTGCCTCCTTCCTTTCCTTCCTGCCTCCTTCCTTTCCTTCCTGCCTCCTTCCTTTCCTTCCTACCTCCAGGGAAACAGCACCGTTAGCAGCCGAGGTGAAGTGCAGGCACGCACCCTGGTATCACGAAGTCAGGGAATACACACACTCTTCACCTTGGCTGCTAGTGGTGCTGTTTTTGATAAAAGTGAGTTTCTGAGACGTCTCAAAAACACGCTCTGGCGTTTGCCTTCCCTAACGCAATTAAGGTCATGATGTGGTAACCCTGTCAATGCCCGTTGCTCTTCCTCCCTACCTCCAAAGAGACAGCACCCCTGGCAGCCCAGGTGAAGTGCAAGCACTTTGATCCAAGAGTCTGGAAAAAGGTGTCAAGGGAGCGACTGGAGGGTGGGGATGAGGGCGAGGAGAGAGGAGAGAAGAGAGGTTAGAAGGGGATATAGACAGTCCAGTTAAGAGAATGTACGAACATTAACAGTGCTGCGAATCCAGCTGTTTGACCCCCTGATGGATGGTGCGACTTTTGAGACCCCCTGATCGATGGTGCGACCGTGCGACTTTTGAGAAATCTCAAAAGTCACTTCAGCGCGCTCGAACGCGTCACTTTGTCATGTTGTCGAACCTATTATGCGGTTGACAACACTACATACCCTATGATAAACCTATCATTGTTGACCGAGGAACAACAATGCAAGCTGAGGTGCAATCACCCCACTGGCACGCCCACACTATCCATACCCTTCACTCACCATCTGGTGCCGGTGAGTGGTCGCCCCACTCGCCCACTCACTCACTCACTCACTCACTCACTCACTCACTCTCACATTAACGCACTCACTCCATCAGGTGCCAGTGTGTGATCTCCTTGTCACTCCCCACACTAACCTACTCACTCACTCCCTCACTCACTCCCTCACTCACTCAATCAGATGCCGGTGTGTGATCTCCCCACTCGTCTCGATTCCACAGAAGAGCGACGGGTCAAAGCCCAGAGATGGAAGCCTCTTGGAAGCCACCTCCACCCTGCGCGACGAGTTGCTGAGAAGCACCACCTTGGCACCAGACGCTGCCAGCTGGCGCACTGTGATTGGCCAGGGAGGATACGGATAAGGATGGGGATAGTGATAGGGATAGGTTAAGGGTTGTGTGTGTAGTGAGAAAGAGAGAAGTATTCCTGTTGAACTTTCAAGATTTCTCGAAACGGATGCATAGAAAAGAGCATTTGGAGGGAGCAGCATGCAAGGGAGAGAGTTAGAGGGAGCGCACCATCCAATACTCTTTTCGTTACAGGATACCCCTTACTCGGTAGCTGAGAGAAAAGGAAATGACTTTTGAGTCGACTCAAAAGGGAGCGCACCACCCAATACTCGTTTCGTTACAGGATACCCCTTACCCGGTAGCTGAGAGCAAAGGAGATGGGTCACGATTTTTGAGGCGCCTCAAAAAGTTACAGGATACCCCTTATACGGTAGCTTAGAGCCAAGGAAATGGGTGATGATGAGTTGCGAGACCCACTCACATGCTTCGATCACTTGGGGGGGATAGGCCTTGTTGGTTTTTGAGGCGCCTCAGAAACCACCTCAAAGGAAATGGGTGATGATGAGTTGCGAGACCCACCCACTCACATGCTTCGATAGCCTGGGGATAGGCCTTCTTGCCGTCGTGCAGCACCCCAAACTGGTCTAGGATCCAGGCCTGGGGGAAAGGAAAGGGGAGTTACGGAGAGCACAACAGCAGCAAGAGAAGAAGGTGCGTGAGAGGAGAGCTGATTGAGAGGGAGGGAAAGAGATCGCTTTCTTGCCGTCGTGCAGCACCCCAAACTGGTCCAGACTCCAGGCCTGGGGAAAGGACCAGTTTGAGGTGGAGGGGGCAGGGGGGAGGAGCGGAAGGGGCGGATGTTGGAGGGAAGAAAGTGGAATTGAGGGAGAGTGCCTTGGCAGCAGCAAGAGGAGATGAAGGTGGAAGGGAGGGGAGAGAGAACGGGATGAAAAGCACGGAACAGGGGCAGGGAGGGAACGAGGGATGGAATTGAAGGCGGGTGGGAGGACAGCCGAGACTGGCCATCGAGCCATATGGGTTTCTTAAAGCACCTCAAACTGATCCACAGCTCAAGGAATAAAAAAATAAAGAGTTGATCAGCCCAGATCCTTCAAGCGTCAAGCGTCCGTACCTCGTATTTCCCCGTTTCAACGAGCTCTTTTAGCCCGGAGATTTGAACAGGTCCGTTCCGCGCGGGTAAATCACCCTCGACATTCCCTTCTGTAGTGGTTGCCGTGTGTGCAGCGGAAGCCATTATGGCTGCTGTTCTGCTACGCGGGACAACGGTTCCGCGGGTGATTAATAAATTACGCCGACGATTGGCTATGTGGGTAATTGAGAGTCGTGTCCTTGCTAGTACTGGTAAGCGGGACGACAATGGGAGCAATGAGGCAGCTACTGTCGGGGATGGAGTGCAGCGTTGAGCCGGAATCGGCAATGGAGAGGGCATCGCTCCAAGCGCTCGGGAAATACGAGGATCTAACGGCGACTCCCGTCGCCTATTGAATAGGCTGCTTTTGAAAAGGGGAATTCACGAAGTAATTGGCCGAATTCGGCTCGGATTGGCTGTGGAAGAAAAAAGGAAACAAAATTATCCGAAATCAGGGCGGGGTTTCTGGGCCACACTGGTGAGCAATAGCTGTGGGGCGCAAAAGTTCTTAGTGTGTGTTGAGTGGTTCGACGATTTGCGAAAGCACCGCGATTAGCAAAGCGAAGCTGGGCGAAAGTATGAGAATGACAGTTGTGCCTATCACTTCCCTGTGAGCATTAGCACAGTAACTTCTCGTAAGCAAATAGTCAAGGGAAGGTCGAGCGGACGAACCCGAACTTCGGTGGTACAGTGGCGGGATTTGAAGAACACTTTGACGTGTACAGCGCCCTAAGCCGCGGTTTGAAGCGGGAGCATGATCCTATTGTGACACGCGACGCGAGCTGCCTCTCCTCTCTCTTGATTGTGTCGAGTCGAAGAGTCCTCCATGGCTAACCAACGTAACGTAACGCGTATGTGAGCGGAAATAACGGAAGACGGGCGTATCGCAGCCTCTGGCAGGTGGATCCCGTGCGCGCTGTTCAGGGCGGCTTCAGACTGTCATAGGCACGGCTTCTGTCATCGGCAAAACTATTACGGTAGTCGAAACGGCAGCCGGCATTTGAGCCCTGTCGCGACTCGGCATGTTCCACTCGAAATGCACGTAGTAGAATCAATGGCGGTCGTAAGAGCGGTGCGCGTAGGCTCGTTGCTCTTCTCGTCGTGTCGGGCGACCCCCTTTCACGCCCACCGTCCTAATTCGGTTCCGATCCGAACCTACATCCGTGCAGGCTCGGAAGCTACAGCCGACCCATCCGCGAGCCTCACACGTCTTCCGAGCCTGGTGTCCAAAAAAACGAGGGGTCCCGCCTCGGCTGTACCGAAAAATTCGGGTCGGGGCGTCTCACCGAAGCTGCCTGCCGAACCTGGGGATACGTCTGGCAGATGTGGTTCGGACAGTCCACCCATCGAGGTGGTATTTGAAGATGAGCACTTGATCGCAGTCAACAAACCGTGGGGAATCATGGTGCACTCATGCTGAGTCTGTTTTGTATTTTCATTCTTAAAAAACAGGTGGTATTTGAAGATAAAGCCATGATCGCAGTCAACAAACCGCCGGGAATCATGGTGCACTCGTCTCGCGAAGCCACGCGGGAGGAGCGAGCGCAGGGAGCCTTCGTGAAGGATATGGTGGAGCGACAGCTAGGGTTAGGTATGTGGGCGATGAGCAATGGATGAATACCTGCATTGCAGAGAGGAGCACGGGCAGGAGGGGTGGGGGCACGAGGAGCGCGCGCAGGGAGCCTTCGTGAAGGATATGGTGGAGCGACAGCTAGGGTTAGGTATGTGGGCGATGAGCAATGGGTGGGATGGCAAGGAGGGGAGAGTTGGGAGTACGAGGGATCTGTTTTTTAGAATTCTCAAAAAAACGGATCATCACATGGCTTTTGAGGAGGAGCGAGCGCAGGGAGCCTTCGTGTGAAGGATATGATGGAACGCTGGCTGGAGAGTAGGAATGTGAGGAATGAGTGATGGGTGGTATGGAAAGAGTTGACTTTTGAGTCGACTCAAAAGTATGATGGAACGCCGGCTGGAGCTAGGAATGTGTGACATGAGTCTGGGTTTTGGGTTAGAGCAGTATGAAGGGAAGCTATGTACAGAGAGGGGAGCAGTTAGGAACTAACGAGCATCGCATTGACCGACCCGCCAGTGGGGTGGTCGTTTTTGGACGAACAGCAGAGGCAAGCTGGTTTTTGAGAATTCTCAAAAACTCGCCATTGGGGTACTCGTGTTCGGACGAACAGCAGAGGCATCATCTATTTCTCCTTCCCCACTCCCTTCCATCTCTTCCTCTCATCATTTAATCCCTCTCTTTCTTCCCTTCTCGTCAACGCTTCAGACCGCCCTCTCTTCCCAGCACATCGTATCGACCGACCAGCCAGTGGGGTACTCGTGTTCGGGCGGACAGCAGAGGCGTGCAGGCGAGTGCGAGAGGCCATGGCACACCCAGCTGCTGTGAAGGAGTGAGCAGCTTTTGGTGGGGCGAGGGAGGGAGAGCAAGAGAAGGAGAGCTGTGAATGCATGTGCAAGTACTCTCTTCTCTGCACACCACACCAGTGAGGTGCATTTTGAGGCGCCTCAACATGTACGAGTACTCTCTTCTCTGCACACCACACCAGTGAGGTGCATTTTGAGGCGCCTCAACATGTGCGAGTACTCTCTTCTCTGCACACCACACCAGTGAGGTGCATTTTGAGGCGCCTCAACATGTACGAGTACTCTCTTCTCTGCACACCACACCAGTGAGGTGCATTTTGAGGCGCCTCAACATGTACGAGTACTCTCTTCTCTGCACACCACACCAGTGAGGTGCATTTTGAGGCGCCTCAACATGTACGAGTACTCTCTTCTCTGCACACCACACCAGTGAGGTGCATTTTGAGGCGCCTCAACATGTACGAGTACTCTCTTCTCTGCACACCACACCAGTGAGGTGCATTTTGAGGCGCCTCAACATGTACGAGTACTCTCTTCTCTGCACACCACACCAGTGAGGTGCATTTTGAGGCGCCTCAACATGTACGAGTACTCTCTTCTCTGCACACCACACCAGTGAGGTGCATTTTGAGGCGCCTCAACATGTACGAGTACTCTCTTCTCTGCACACCACACCAGTGAGGTGCATTTTGAGGCGCCTCAACATGTACGAGTACTCTCTTCTCTGCACACCACACCAGTGAGGTGCATTTTGAGGCGCCTCAACATGTACGAGTACTCTCTTCTCTGCACACCACACCAGTGAGGTGCATTTTGAGGCGCCTCAACATGTACGAGTACTCTCTTCTCTGCACACCACACCAGTGAGGTGCATTTTGAGGCGCCTCAACATGTACGAGTACTCTCTTCTCTGCACACCACACCAGTGAGGTGCATTTTGAGGCGCCTCAACATGTACGAGTACTCTCTTCTCTGCACACCACACCAGTGAGGTGCATTTTGAGGCGCCTCAACATGTACGAGTACTCTCTTCTCTGCACACCACACCAGTGAGGTGCATTTTGAGGCGCCTCAACATGTACGAGTACTCTCTTCTCTGCACACCACACCAGTGAGGTGCATTTTGAGGCGCCTCAACATGTACGAGTACTCTCTTCTCTGCACACCACACCAGTGAGGTGCATTTTGAGGCGCCTCAACATGTACGAGTACTCTCTTCTCTGCACACCACACCAGTGAGGTGCATTTTGAGGCGCCTCAACATGTACGAGTACTCTCTTCTCTGCACACCACACCAGTGAGGTGCATTTTGAGGCGCCTCAACATGTACGAGTACTCTCTTCTCTGCACACCACACCAGTGAGGTGCATTTTGAGGCGCCTCAACATGTACGAGTACTCTCTTCTCTGCACACCACACCAGTGAGGTGCATTTTGAGGCGCCTCAACATGTACGAGTACTCTCTTCTCTGCACACCACACCAGTGAGGTGCATTTTGAGGCGCCTCAACATGTACGAGTACTCTCTTCTCTGCACACCACACCAGTGAGGTGCATTTTGAGGCGCCTCAACATGTACGATTACTCTCTTCTCTGCACACCACACCAAGTGTTTGGGCGGACAGCAGAGGCGTGCAGGCGAGTGCGAGCACCCATGACACACCCTGCTGCTGTGAAGGAGTGAGTGGTGGGTGGTGGGGCGAGGGAGAGGGGTAGAGGTGGGGAGAGCAGCGAATGCAATGCAGCTTTGATCTCACAACAACATCAACTGCTGGGCTGGGCTGTGCTGGACAGCAGAGGCATGTAGGCAAGTGCAAGCAGCAATGGTGGCGTACCCTGGTGGTCCTCGTTCAAGGCTCCCCTCCCTTTTGAGAATTCTCATTTTGAGTCGCTTTTGAGAAATCTCATTTTGAGTCGCTTTTGAGAATTCTCAAAAGCAGCAATGGTGGCGTACCCTAGTCCTCGTTCAAGGCTCCCCTCCCAACGCCGTGATGTGTGTTCCACCCACCGCCTCCCCTCCTCCCACACCCCTCCTCCCCTCCTCATTCCCCCCTCCTCCCCTCCTCCCATCCCCCTTGCCCCCTTCCCCCGCCCCATCCCCTCCCAGGTACCTGGTCCTCGTGCGAGGCTCGCCTCCCGGTGCCTTCACGTGTGACAATCTGCTGAAGGACGACCGGAGGAGCACTCAAGCCCGCTCTCTCCCACTTCAAAAGCCTCTTCCCTCCCTCCGCCCATTTCCCCCCATCCCCTCCCAGGTACCTGGTCCTCGTGCGAGGCTCGCCTCCCAGTGCCTTCACATGCGACAAGCCGTTGAAGGATGAAAAGGTGGGGTGTTGCAATGGAATGCAATGGATGGTTGAAGCGCTGAGAGCTGGCAAGGTATAGATGATTCAAGAGCTTAAAACTGAGAGAGTGGGGCGCAGCATGCACGCACAAAAATATGCCGTTGGGAGACTTTGCATTATACCCCTTTCAGGGCGCTTCAGAACCATCTTTAGTCCTCAACCTCCTACCTCCCACCTCCCACTTCCCACCTCCCTCCTTCATAGTATAGTGACTGTTGGGAATTCTCAATAGTGACTCCAATACAGCTGCATCCCTTCACGCACCTTCAAACCCCCAACGCCAACCCCCCACCTCCTGCCTCCCTCCTTTCTTCCCGATTCTCTTTCCTGCTGTCCCTTTCCCAGGGCGTGGTCAAGCCAGCTTATTCTGAGTTCAGAAAGCTCCTGGAAATTCTGCAGCACCGCTGCTCGCTGCTGTCTGTGCGAATATCAACGGGCCGCAGACACCAGATTCGACGGCACCTCAACCACCTCGCTTTCCATGTGAGTTTCCAGTGATGCAGCCATGATAATCACGCATGCAAACACAAAGGTGCACTTCTTTCGACATCCACACCACCAGATGTCACCGCTGCTGTCTGGTGGATTCGCACAGACAGCTCCTGGCTGCCGAATCCAGATGTCACCGCTGCTGTCTGTGCGAATATCAATGGGCCGCTGGCACCAGATTCAATGGCACCTCAACCACCTCGTTTCTATGTGGGTGGAAGCTTATACATACAGACATGCATGTTATACATGTGTGATCCACAGGCATGCATGTTATGCATGTGTGATCCACAGGCATGCATGTGTGTCAGCGACCTCTGTGTGCATGCCTGCAGCCACTATTTGCATTTCTTTCACACTCCTTGCCACCGCTGTGCACTCCTTTCCGTGCCCCACTGGCCTGTGTCATCCTCCCTCCTTCCTGTGTGATTCCTCTTCCACTCCCCATCAGGTGATAGGAGACTCAGTGCATGGCAAGGGCCGCACCAATGCCCATTTCCGCCAGAACCATCGCCTGCCCCCCTCCCGCCTCTTCCTCCATGCTTGCCGCCTGCTGCTGCCCCTGCACGCCCTGCAAGGCGAATTTCCTCCCGTCCACACACCCGAAGCAGAATCCCCTCTTTTTAACATACGTAAAGCCAAATCCCCCCTCGTGGATGCACCAGAAGCAAAATCTCTCCTTTTGCCTGCACTTGAAGCCGAATCTTCCCTTATGCTGGCAACCGAAGGGGATTTTTCCCTGTCTCTTCTGGAGAGTAGTGCAGGGATGGATAATAGGTATCTTGAAATTGTTGCTCCATTACCAGATGATCTGACTCATGTGTTACTCTCTCTTGACGTGGACATAGATACAATTAACAGCCTTTGCTTCAGATCCTGAGTCTCCCCCCAATCCTGTATGACAAGTGTAAAGAAACGCTTCCATTGTATTTGGCTGGGACTGTAGGATCACTCACTCTCATTTGACTGGTTAGTATAGCAAGGGTAATTGGGAGTGCTGCGAATTTTCAATAGTTTGTTGCCAATGTATTTACATAACGTAGCTGTGGTGGAAACAGAATCTGCTGCTGCTCCATAGACAATCTTGAAGCCTTCTTTAAGGGGGATATCGAGCCCCCACCCACAGACCCATTTCGCCCAGTCCCTGCCTTCTCCCCTGATGATGCTGATGTGGCCAGTCCAGCTGAAGTGGGCGGGGCTGCTGCTGACACGGAACCAGCTGCAGGTGATGACAGGGCACGAACACGTGTCGAGCGTCTAAGATTACCCGGAGCACCAATAACCCCACTGTCAGCACCAGCAGCACCACCAGCACCGTTTGCAGCAGCAGAGCCAGCAGTGGGAACTGACGGGGGCGGGGAGGAGGAGAAGGCAGCAGCTGCTGCAAGCTGGCGAGCCAGAGCCCTTGCCCCTGAGAGGAGAGCGGATCTGAAGGGGGGTGGGGGGGGTGTGTGGGTGTGAGAGGAGGAAAAGAGCGCTTTGAAAAGGAAGGGAAGGGGAGAAGAATGGAAGGCAGCAGCTGCTGCAAGCTGGCAAGCCAGAGCCCTTGCCCCTGAGAGGAGAGCGGATCTGATAAGAAGAGGAAAAGTGCGGGGGGGTGGGAGCGAGGAGAGAGGGAGAGTGGACATAAACAGGGTGGGGAAGAGGGGGAGGTAGGAGGAGCAGCAGCTGTTGCAGGCTGGCGAGTCAGGACCTGCTCCGCTCGTTTACCTTCCTGCGCGAGTCCATTCCTGGCATTTCTTTCCACTCGCCTAAGAAAAAACTTTCCGCACAAAATGCAAGGGTTTAGAAACAACTTTCCGTTGTGCTATCCTGCTAGCCTGATACTCCCTACCTGATGCTGTCTCGCCGTGTGGTGAGCCGGGCGTGCCATTGTAACGAGGTGACGTTTGAGTCGACTCAAAAGTCGCCCCGAAGCTGACACTCACTGCCTACCTGATGCTCTCCTGCTGTGCGGTGAGGTAGGCGTGCAGGCGCCTTTCACCTGGAAAGCGAGGGTCCAGAGAGCTCAGCAGCGCATCAAACTGTGTTCACAGGCAGGGGAGGGGAGGGTGCGGCGGAGGGAAGAACTAGGAGATTTGGGGATGTGCTGTGTGGTGCTGTGCGGTGAGGTAGGCGTGCAGGCGCCTTTCACATGGAAAGCGAGGGTCCAGAGAGCTCAGCAGCGCATCAAACTGTGTTCATAGGCAGGGGAGGGGAGGGTGCGGCGGAGGGAAGAACTAGGAGATTTGGGGATGTGCTGTGTGGTGCTGTGTGGTGAGTCGGGCGTGCAGGCTCTTTTCGCATGGAAAGCGAGGGTCCAGAGAGCACAGCAGCGTGTCAAACTGTATTGATGAGCGGGAATAGGGAGAGGAAGGGGGGTGAGGTGAGATAATGACCGGTTGAAGTAAACTCAAACGAGTATTTACTTGATGTGGTGCTGTGCAATACTGCACGAGCCACCACTTGCTATGCGGTGGATTGAGGTGCTGTGCAGTGCTGTGATGTGCAGTGCCATACAGTGCGTCCCATGCGGTGCAGTGCGGTGCTCCACCCTCCTCACCTCGTCAACACTGCTGTAGTATCCCCATCGCCTCCCCACCTCCCCTTCAACGAACAATCTTGCCTCCCGCCCAAACCACCAGTACTGCCTGCCCTCCCGGTCGCACCCCACCGGCACTGCTCGAACCGACGCCTTCTCGACCTCTTTATCCAGGTCCCGACACTGGTGGTTGAAAGGGAAGAGGGGAGAGCGAGGGGAGCAGTGAGAGTGTTGCTCACTGCGTTGGGCACCAGTACTGCCTGCCCTCCCAGTTCCACCCCACCGGCACCACTCAAACCGATGCCTTCTCTGCCTTTTGCCAAGGTCCCGACACTGGTTAGGGATGGAAAGGTCGGGATGGTGGGGAGTGGTGGGGAATCCCTAAAGCCATGCTGCAGCTGCAATTCCATAGGCCTAACTGTTGCGCTTCTCCCTAAAACCTAAACACATACCTTCTTTTGCAGTTGCTGCATCTCTTCTGCCTCCTCCTCCTCCTCTCGCTTCCACCTCCTCTCCTTCTCCTCCCACTGCCGCTCCCATTCTCGCCTCTCTTCCTCATCTCCCTCTCCCTTCCCTCTCTCTCCCTCCTCACTCGCTCCCTCAGTTCCCGAACCAACTTTTCCTCCACCCCTTCCTCTTTTCCTTCCCCTGATCCGCTTCCCCATTCCTTCTTCCCCTCCTCCACTTTCCTCCTTCCCCTCCTCTCTCCCTTCCTTCCTCCCCTCCTCCCTCCCCTCCTCCCTCGCCTCCTCCCCCTCCTCCTCCCTCCCCTCTTCTCTCTCCTCCTCCCTCCCCTCCTCCCCGTCCCCCTCCCTCACATCACCGGACAGCCCTCCTACAGACTGTCTTCTGTAACTGCCACGTGTCCTCCTGCTATTGGTGGGCCAGGACAGACCCCGTTTCCTGCCCCTGCCAGCAGCCAATGAGGGGAGAGATAAGGATTCTGCTGCTCCCATGGCTGTAGCGGGTTCAGCATCAGTGGCAGCTGTGGCAGCTGTAGCGGCTACATCCCCACTAATACTATTCGCAGCAGCTGTAGCAGCATCAGTGGCAGCTGTGGCAGCTGTAGCGGCTACATCCCCACAAATACTATTCGCAGCAGCTGTAGCAGCATCAGTGGCAGCTGTGGCAGCTGTAGCAGCTGTAACCCCGTCCATATTCTCAGTAGCAGCATCAGCAGTAACTGTAGCAATTGTATCTTCACCTGTAATCTCTATAGCAGCTGCTGGAGCAGTGTCAGCTGTAAACGTTGTAGTAGTTGCATCCCCGTCAATAGCATCAATCACATCTGTGGCAGCATCAGTGGCAGCTGCAGAGGTTGCGACCCCTTCATTATCATCAGCCCTGGCAACCTCTGTAGGAGGGGACAGCTCTGTAGCAGCAGCCTCACCATCAACACCATCATCACCAGTTGACGGCTCATTCTCAGCACAACCTGCACTGGCGCTACCACCAGCAGCAGCAGCAGCAGCAGCAGCAGCAGCAGCAGCAGCAGCAGCAGCAGCAGCAGCAGCAGCAGCAGCAGCAGCAGCCCCACCATCACCACTAGTGGATGGCTCATTCCCAGCACAACGATCCGCACCAGAAGACTGAATGCAGGGAGAGACGCCACTGGGATTGACATCCATGTCGACACCTGTGTTGATCGTTACACTAGTATTACCACCCTCATTGGCATCAACCCTTACACACATAGTATCATCCCCCGCAGCAGATACAGCTTTACACGAAATCTTTTCACAGAAGCTACCACGAGACCTCTGCTGCCTCCCTCCCCACCTCCACCTCCTCTCCATCTCCTCCCTCCACACTCTCTCCTCCTCCTCCCTCCTCGCTATCTCCTCCCTTTCCTTTCTTTCCTTCTCCCTCTCTTCTCTCTCCCTCTTTCTCACTCTCTCCCGCAATGCTGCTGTCTCCCTGCACGCCCGTTCCTCCTCCGCCAAAACCTTTTTCTGCCCGGCCAACTCGTCCATCGCTGCAAGCTTTTTTTCCACCGCTGCCCGCAGAATGTCCCCCTCTAGTGCAGCGTTCACCAGCTCCCGAAGCAAGAGCAGTTTTGCCTCAGCGCCGAGCCTAGAATAGTGGCTTGGCAAAATGCTTTTTGGAAGAGGAAAAGGATCCAGAGAGTTTCTAGGATGTATCCTATCAGAAGAAGCAGCAGCAGCGAAAGCAGCAGCAGCTGTTGTCTCACCATTGACATCACCACCATTGCCACTGCTGCCAGCACTAGTAGCAGCACCATCCGCAACAATAGCATCAGTATCAGGAGCAGCAGTAGCGTCACCACCATCACCAGAATTAGCACGATCACAAGCCCTCTCACCACGGCCCAAGCACTCGGCCACACTCAGTAGCTTCCCACCGTCAGATCCACAGGCATCCGAACCCTGTAGACCGTCGGATCGACGTGCCTGGGATGGATGCACGCCATTGAGAATCAGCCTGCGTGGCTGCAAGCTCCCGTGCTCTGATGAAGCGGGGCTGACAGAGTTCTTGAAACAGTCCTGCTGAGACGTCTCAAGTCGCAGTCGGCCATGCACCGAAGCCGGGCTGATGGGATCCTTCAAGCCGGGAACCTTGAAGCAGTTCTGAGATGCCTCGGAATGCAGTCTGGAGCGCACTGAAGGGGTGTTAGCCCATGCTGATACGTCCTCCAGCCACGTGTGAGGCGACACCTGAAGGTGGGGGAGAGAGTAGGAAAGGACGAGATCTATTAGCGCCTTTTTTCCTACATGATATTTATAACCTTGCAGAAAGGTTCACAAGCCAACTGTGGACCAATACATACATGAGAGGCCAGCGCAGGATTCGTTCGGCTTTTGAAATTTCTCAAGAAGTGTTTTCAAGGGCCAATGTAAGGATTATTTGTTCAACTAAAGGCATGCACCGGCCGGCCATACATACCACCATGCAACAGCGGCAGTAACACATACCACCTAAGGCATGCATCGGCCATACATACATACCACCACGGCACCACCTACCTCTTTCTTCCCCTGCCGCTGTTTCTTGAACTCCTGTTCGAAACCTTTATGGCTCAGAGCTGCCCGCAGCAGTGCCGTATGCACCTCCCCCAACAGCGGAGGCAACACAACCTCTCTACGCCTTCTCCCTCCCTCACTCCATCCCTCACTCCCTCCCTCACTCCCTCCTCTGCCTTGTCCCCTCCTGCCGTTTCCTCTTCCATTCCCTGTTTCTTCCCGCACTCTTTCCCTCTCCCAGCTCTCACTCGCACCGCCTTCCTTCCCTCCTCCATCCCGCCTGCCTCTCAGCCTTCGCCCCTTCCCCCACCCTGCTCCCCAATCCCATTCTCTTTCCGACCCCTCTCTTTCCTCCTCTTCCCATCTCTCCTCTTCATATTTCCCCTCTTCCGATTTCCCTTCTTCCACCTTTCCCTCTTCAACCTTTCCCCCTTCCAACTTTCCCTCTTCCAATTTCCCCAAAACCATTTTTTCGTCTTCCAATATCCCCTCTTTCAATGCATGCTCTTCCAATTCCTCCTCTTCCCTCCTCTCCTCTTTCTGGCACCCGTCCCCTCCCCCCGTTTCCTGCCCTTCCACATTCTGTCGCCCTTTCTCCTCCCCTTGCACTGCCTCCTGCTCTCCCGCCTGTTTCTCCCTTTGCTCCTCCCCATGCTTCTCCCTTTGCTTGACCCCCTGCTCTCCCCCCTGCTCTCCCCCCTGCTCTTCCCCCTGGCTTCCCCCCTGCTCTCCCCCAAGCTCTTCCCCCTGCTCTCCCCCCTGCTCTTTCCCCTGCTCTTCCCCCTGTCTTCCCCCCTGCTCTCCCCCCCGCACTTCCCCCTGCTCTCCCCCTTGCACTTCCCCCTGCCCATCCCCCCGCTCACACTCTAACACCTCAGCTTCTCCCTTCGCAAATCTCCTCGCCCCCTCTCTCTCCGCCACACCTCCCCCCATTCCGCGCCTCCCCCCGCCCCCACCCTCCCCCTCAAACGCCAGGGAGAGCTCTAGAGAGGAGAGGGAGAAGGGGGAGAGGCGGAGGGCGGGGGAGAAGCGGCAGCAAAAGTCCCAAACTGCAATCAAATCCCCTATGCTGCTGCTGGGGAGAAGGAAGTCGAAGCATGGCTTGGGCAGGGGCGGGGGCGGGGGGAGGGGAGGATGAGGCGGAGATGGGGGAGGGGGAAGTGCGTGAGGGGAAGGAGGGAGGGGCGGGGAGGAAGTGGGTGCAACGGTGGGAGAGGGCGGAGCAGTTAGGACTCCAACCACCAGACCACGTACATCTGAACCACCTTCACCTGAACCGGACCCAGAAACACAACCTTCATTCCCACCACCCTCATGCATCACAGCCGCAATCCCCTTCCTCCTCCCTCCCACCCCCTTCGCCTTCTTCCCTGCCCTGCCTGCTTGCCCCCCTGCCTCCTCACGCATCCCCTGAGCCTTTGTCGTACCTACAGCCATGGCCGAACCTGCAGCCTTGGCAGTTTTTTTAGACTTGGACTTATCTTTGGGCTTTGCACCTCCCTTCTCCAGTCCTTCCCCGCTTAACCCTCCTCCTGCTTTTGCCTTGCCTCCTGCCTTTGCTTTAGCCCCTTTACAACGCTTTTCAACCTTCCCTCCCTCCTTCGCTTTCCCCACCGCCTTCCCCTTCCCCTTGCTCCCTTTTCGACCCTCAACACCCGGCAAACAATTCTGCTCCACGAGAGCAACACCAACACCAACACCAACACCAACACCAACACCAACACATACCGTCTTCTCTTCTCCCACTCCACACCCCTCCTCCTCACCACCGGAACCACCAACACCCCTCCCAGCCCCCACCACATCTACGCCTGACAAGCAATTCCTCTCCGCATGAGCAACACCAGCACTGCCACCACCATGAGCCGTCTTCTTGTCTCCTTCCACGAAAACCTCCTCATCCCTCATTCCACTCCCTCGTCCAGTCCCCACCACATCCAACCCCTCCCTCAATTCCTGGAGCAACCCTACCCCATCAAGCTCTGAGAGTCTTCCCTTCGAGCCCCACTCCTTACTAGCCTCTTCCGTATACCCTCCCGGTCGCAACCCTTCTGTCATTGGCGAATCTCGTTTCAGTGCTCTCACGCCATTGGTACCAATTGCGCCAAGTGGCGCGTTCCTACTGGTCAGTTTGCTCTCCCGAATCTCCCAGGGAATGTTATCAGGCTGAGTCAGACTCAGCTTCTGCCGCCACTGCTGCTGCTGATGGTGATTCTGATGCTCATGCTGTAGCCACCGCTGCTCATTCTGAGGGCAATTCTGATGCTGCTGAATGCAGCCAATCACACTAGCAGTTCTTGCACACGCTTCTGACTCTTCTTTCACTGCATCCTGATTCCATGGAGCCATGTGAGTCGACTCAACAGCTCCTGGATGCGCGTCTGGCTCTGTCCTCACAGTAGACTGATTCTGTGACTGTGTATCCACTACTGATGCTGCTCCCATAACCCCTGCCCCATCAAGTCCTGATCCAAGACGCCCTGCCGCTGTAGCCAATTCTGATAGAAGCACATGCTTTGCCTCCAAAGCTTCTACGCCAAGTTTGGGACAATGTTCCGTCACTGGCTCGGAAGCAGGTTTACCAGCAGGTTCGGTCGCAGGCTCGGGAAGTGGTTCGCCAACGGTCTTTTTAGGCCGTCTGGTTGGTGCTTTTCTGGGCAGGAAGAAAAACTCTTCTCCTGCCATGTCATCGGCCTGAAAGGGGAATGGAGGGGAGGATGAAGACGAGATCAGGAGTAGGAGGAGAGTACTCAGAACAAACAACGAAGGGATGGAAGTTGAGAGGAAGGGAAGAAGCCATAACAAGAGCGGACGGGCCAAAAGGTAGAAGCATCAAACAGATCAACCAGTGTCTCCTTACAACTGAACGCAAAACAAGCTCTCTCTCTCTCTCTCTCGCTCACTCTCTCGCGCACACACATACCAGACGCTTCTTCTTCCTCAGCTTGCGGCTCCTCTTGTCTGCCTCTGCTTCTGCCGCCATGTCATTGTTACCATTGACACGTGTCGTCTTATGAGTGGCCACCAAACTTCTCCTATCCGCTTCTGCTTCAGCTGCTGTGCAGTCGGAGTGAACCCTGACACGTGTTGCCTTGTGAGTCGTTTGAGCAGCTTTCTTATCTGCCACGTCAGCTGCAATATCAGCTCCTGATTCGAGAGCCACGTCAGGTAATGCTTCAGGTGTTGCTTCAGGTGGCGTATCATCTCTTAAGTTGGTTGCCACGTCAGCGACTGCTTCGGCTGCAGAAGCAGCGCTTGAGCTGTCCGCCACGTCAGCAGCTGCTTCTGCTCCAGCATCTGCTCTTGAGTTAACTGCAACGTCAGCTGCGGATTGCAATTTCGCTTCCACGTCAGCTGATGTATCAGTGGTCATTTCAACTGGTGTGTCAATCACATCAGTTGCCAACTCAACTCGTGCCACTTCCCCAATAACAGCCCTCGTTATGCAGGGCCTTGTTCCTTTCATGCGCACAGGAGATGCGGCTGTAGCAGGCGTTGTGTCAGCAGGAGCAGGAGCAGCAACAGCAGCGGCAGCGGCAGCGGCGGCAGCGGCAGCAGTGGCGTCGGCGGCAGGAGGAGGAGGAGGAGGAAGAGGAGGAGCCCTAAGCGCAGGCACGCCAGCTAGCTGATAGCATGGCAGCAGAACCCTGGTGGCATGAGTAGCTGATGCGGATGCAGTGCCCTCACTCTCACCACCACCATTAGCTGGAGCAGCAGCAGCATTAGAGGCGGCAGCAACTGCAGTGGCAGTGGCAGAAACAGCAGCTACCATGGACAGCAGCAAACCTCCATCAATAGCAGCAGGAGCAGCAGCAGCAACGTCCAGCCTACCATTGCCAGCACCAGCAGCACTGGCCATTCCACCTACTCTGGCATCGCTTGGCTGGCCAATGGGACCAGCCAATCGTGTGCCGACAGCTGTCGTCACAGCAGACTGGGATTCGGCGTGTGCTGATTTGCCTGATCCGTCCTGACAGCTCATGACCTGTGCAAACATGGAGGAAGGGAAACAACGGTAACATTATGAAGGAATCAGCGGCAACGTGAAAGAAGCAACTGAGACATGAAGGAATGAACGGTAACATGAAGGAATGAACGGTAACACGAAGGAATCAATGGTGACATGAAGGAATCAACGGTGACATGAAGGAATGAACCGTAACATGAAGGGAAAAAACGGTAACATTATGAAGGAATCAGCGGCAACGTGAAAGAAGCAACTGAGACATGAAGGAATGAACGGTAACATGAAGGAATGAACGGTAAAATGAAGGAATGAACGGTAACATGAAGGAATGAACGGTAACATGAAGGAATGAGCGGTAGCATGAAGGAATGAACGGTAACATGGGGGAATGAACGGTAACAAAGGGGGAATGAACGGTAACATGAAGGAATGAACGGTAACATGAAGGAATCAACGGTAACATGAAGGAATCAACGGTGACATTAAGAAATTAACGATAGAATGATGGAAACAAACGGTAACAAGAATGAAGAAACGGTAACACGAAGAAAACAACGTTGCAACCCTAAACTACAGCTGGAGGGTCTCAAATGTCCGAAATTCCGTAACCGCTGGCAGTAGTATCGGAGCAACAATGAAAGAATCCAAAAAGACCTTTCAATAGAAGCACAGGGCTAGCAGGATGAAGGTATTGTGAAGGGAACACGAAAGAAGCACCCAGAGGGTGCAATGACGCGTGGAGCGACGCGGACAGCGACGAATTTGCGACGAACGCGGTTACAATAACGATGCGGCGCTAAACGAGCTATGGAGGCTAGCTATACGAAATTCTAACTTGACATAGCCAGCGACGATGAATTCCGGAAGGAAACCCTAAAATTACGACAAAAGCGGTGGTCTTAAGTAGAACTGACGAGTTGACGGGTGCTCGGGAAAACGGAAAGCGTGACAGTAGCTGGTTTGGCTCTTGTAACGCGGGAAGAACGGCGGAGAGCCCGGAATGTGGGAAGAGCACCTACGAGATTCGGTCAGGGTGGCCGGACGGATTCAGCTGCTGACGGAACGGGATAGACTCCGCCAGGTTGGGTCCTGAACCGAAATTCGTTACCAGTCGGCCAAAAAAATGGCAGAACTGGCCGGATCTGCCTACAAGTCGGCTCAACCCGATAACTGACCCAGCTATGGATCTCGAGGAACTCTATAAATGCGGTAAGCCGTAGCACGAAGCTCCCAGCAAACCCTACATTCAAGCCTGCGCAATGCGAGACGGGAAACTGGGCCATCTGTGGTTCGAGAGGCGAGGTCATGCAGACCGTCGGGAGGGATTCGTGACGCGCGGGAGGGGGAGTTGACAACCGTGAGAGAATGGGAATGGCAGACTAGTGTGAGGCGGCGGCAAACGACATTGCGAGGGAGATTTCAGGGCGTGTGCAGTGTGCAGTGCTGTGAGTTCGTTTCCAGCTTTTATGCGAAGCAGGCGATGCTAGCGAGGAAAAGTAGCGACAACTTTGGCTGGGACAACTTTTGTGGAGACCAGGGAGTGTCGAGGCGCTTGCTTGGAAAATGCTAATATCGTGTACAGGACACACAAATTAGCCTTTCGTTTAGACAAAGAAGATTTTCAGCACCACTAAGCTGAGTCTATCATTACAACCGTCCCACCTATGACGAGATGAATGTGTACACTAACGTGTTATGTTCATGAAGACTGCATGCATGTTTAGTTTGACTGTTATATTCTTGAAGACTGCATGCCATAGGGATATCAGCCACGGCCACGACCGCGACCCCTGCCCCTTCCTCGTCCCCTGCCTCTTCCCAGAGCTCCACCCCGCCCTGCAAAAGAAATCATAAAACAATGAAGTTTGATTGGTTGTTTGTACCTCATCACACAGCATCACAAACTCAATAAAATCATAACAGATGTTCCCGACCACGACTGCACATACCTGCTGGTTGTTTCTTTGCCTTTCGTCGGGGTGCATCGTCCACCAATAGCGTGTCAAGATTCAAGCTGTCGGGCAGGATAAAATACCGGATTGTGTGTCCCCGTACACTCAAATGGTCCAGGGCTACTGGGTTCTTGCCCTTGACTGTAAGCTTCACTGTTTTAAGGTGAGTGTTCATACTGATGTCCACTCCTGGAGTGTTTCAGCGGATGGGGGGGTAGGGTGGGGGGGTTGGGGGAGGAGTGGCGGGGAAGGGGGGGGGAAGGGGGGGATGGAAGAGGGGGATGGAAGAGGGGGATGGAAGAGAGAGTGGAAACGCCGACCGGGCGTGGGGGGACAGGGAGGGGAGGGGAGGGAGACACAACAGCGAAACGGGGAAGGAATGAAGTAAAAATGAGAAAACAGAAATGAGCTGCGTGATGAGAATATCGTGTTACCTCTGCATCTACGTACAATTGTTAATCGTCAAGCTGCCAGCATCTTAGAGCGACGACTATTTGCAGGTTCACGAAGATCCGCCGAACGGAAAGAGCGGAAAAAAAATCCAGAAGAGCGCAAGGAAGAACATCCGGGAAAATGGGGAAATTTTAGACAGGAAATCAATTATTACAAGGCTAGCAATGAGAGGTTCAATCCTTCTATTGTAGAGGAACTGATAAATCGGTTGGCCTGGGTGAATGCGTAGCTGATTTGAGTTCAGCGGTGAATGGAGACGACATCGGGATGGGAAGGCAGGATAGGAATTTAAGAGCCTTACCGAGAATGGTCCCGTGTACAATTGTGCCATTCTTCAGCTCTATGGACACCGTCTCATTGTTTAGCTTCATAAGAAACCTGCACAGTTCAGGAGCAATCACGCTGTCAGAAAACAGCAAACCGACGCCTTGAAAACGTACGATTTGGAATGAATTAACAGCCATTGAAATGGGTGGGTGATTCCTACCTGACAAGCTTCATCTTTCCGCAATAGAAGCTTCCAAGTCAGCGGCGGCTCGTCGATGAGATCGCAAACAAGTGACGCTAACGACGGCAAATGCGCAGATCGTAATTAGGGGAGATTAAGGGGCGCTAAACGAATGGACGAGGCAGAAACGCTAGCTTACTCCAATCCTAAACTGCTGAACCCTAAACGTCTCAACGCATCTGACAAGGAGAATGGGGCAATATCGGTACGCTGTATAGTTTGCTGATCGATAAGATAAAATAACCAGTCAGCTAAAACATTATGTTATTCCCATTTGCTGGGTGTGGTTGATAATTATTGACTTGATGTTGTCATACTATAAATCTTCTATTAAATTGTGTCGTAAAAATAATAAGCACACTGTCATGACAGGAAACTACCCATTCATCCATGTATTTATCGTCCCGGACTAGGGTTTTAACCATATATTTATTTGTTATGTCATTATTGATTGGAGGTCGTGTTTGAAGCGAACGTTGACATCCCTTGACAAAACGTTGATTGATGTTGGAACATCCTGAATCATCCATCCATGAGTTGGCATTCACTAACACTTCCCAAAGTTATGTCAGTAGATCAGGGCTGACGATATCAGGGTAATTACCCTGATTTCAGGGTGATTACAGGCTTCTGACTTGGTGGACCCTGCAAACACAGGTTTTGTATTTTGTGAACTCTGATCCTATCAGAGTAGCTACTTAACGGACTCTGAATTCTTGTAACTAGGCTCAGAGTAGTGTACTTGCGGAGTCTGTCTATGCAGAGTATGCGTTCCGTGGACCCTGGATGCGAGGGTATTGGGACAAAGTTTCCTAGAAGCTTCGTTTTGATAACCCCCTTGTGCGTAATCATTTCTTCGAGTGGAAGTTTCTTGGAAATTTCCTTTCGATATCCCCCTTCAGTTTGATCGTAGTACAGCCAGCGCGTTAGCGATGGACAGCAGCATGTCTGACAGGCGAATACACTTGATGTTTGTTATTTTCACGAAATTTGAAATAAGTTGTTCCACTGTCGTAAGTGCGTGTGCGTGAAGTTTCCAGAACCTATTTTGCGTTTCGCACAGCGATGTTGGCCACATTCAGGTATCGAATCGAAATGTTTGGTTGAGCGAAATCGCTCATCTCTTCCCCCCACTAAAACGAGTGCATAAACACCATTTTGTAACACTAAAAGGGTGGAAATTAGCGCGCTCAAAGTGTGCGCGAAACACAGAGCGCAAACTTTACGCAGAGGGAGACTTTTTCCCCTGTAACAAAGGACGCGTTACTACTCTGATCCTCGATTTTCGACCCTGAACAATCAGAGTTATATACTTATCAACCCTGAGCAATCAGAGTAGCATTCTTCTGAAAAATGTGCACTCATAATAGAGGGGAAAAAATTTCCGCGGAATCAGGGAGGCCTAATATGAAACGTTAGCCCTGCAGTAGATATGGAGTGGATGTTCCTTTTCATGTTAAAGCCAGCATGCAAAATAATTGCCCCCCCCCTCTCCCCCCCCCCCCCCCCCCCCCCCCCTTCTAGTTGGGTCCACTTGAAGATGAAGTAGTATTTTTGTTTTGTTTCGGAAAGTTGGAAGTGCTGTGTGTGTGCTTTTCATTCCGACCTTCAGACGAGTTTCTTATTGGACCAGGAACGAAAGTTCATTCTCAATTCTGATTGGCAGCCAGGTTCTATTACATGTACGTGTGCGAATTTGGCGCACAGTTGAGCGACGAGCATTCTTGCATTCACTAGAGCCAATACTTCACTAATTTCACAACTAGCAACATCTCACACTAAATCCTTGTTGGGAACAAATAATCAAAGTACGCATCTGTCGTGTCGAAAGACCAAGTCAGAAGCGAAGCAGAACATATCGAAGCATCGGCGAGTCAACCCTCGGAGGTTGAAACAACTGTTGGAGGTTACGCGAAAGTCAAAGGTCAGCGACCTTTGACCTGACAAATGCAGCGCGACAGCAAGGACACACAACTGACTCGATATTGAGCAGTTGCCCGAGTCGCACTGTATCGAACCGCAACAGCAAACAGTAAAACAGTTATCAATCGTATCTCTTCGTGTTCCTTGTAATCTTATATAAACCTTTGTACTTGCTTGTTCTAATCAACTTACTTTGCCCTCACATACCAGCGCAAGGTGGTTCACAAGTCTTTATTCAACGCTTCCGCTATTACATCATTCTACTTCGAATTTAGTCTTACAAAAGATCCTGAGGGGCTTTCAGCCTAACATGGTATGAGAGCACGTTAGTATTAAATTCAATTCTTAATGCCTACGACATCAAGAAGGCATGTCTACCCGAAAGGAGAGAAGCTCCTCGGCTCTCCCGGTACTACCCCTACTCCACCCCCTGCCTCTGGCCTACAGACAAAGGAGGGCACAACAACGAGACCGGCAGCTGGGTCTACCGAAACACTAGCAAATCAAGGCGCGGGCTTTGACCCAAGCATGATGGAGAAATTTTTCTCCTTCATGTCCTTCTACGAGCAACACCAGCAAGGAGCACCTGCGCAATCAAACAACAGCAACAACAACAACAACAACGTGACACCCATGAGTCTCGACGGCTCTTCCTACGCACGCGGAAATCAACAGTAGCAGCCTACCTTCGCTCCGTACGAGCCCCAGCGCGGCTCCGACAGCTTTATGCCACAACCACAACCTGCACCGGGACAAGAGAGAACACTGGACGCACTTCAAGTTCAATCGCAGTTCGCGCACGTTCTAAAACTGCAAACATCTAAACCCTTCGACGGGAAGGATTTCTTTACCTGGTCGTTTGAATTCAAGCTGATGATGGAAGGCGCGCAAATCCTTGGGTTCTTCGACGGGTCCCTGCCATACCCAACACACGGGACACAGTACGACAAACAGCAATGTACGTATCAGTCAATGATGGCGTATACAATCCTACTGAGGAACGTCACGCCAAACCAGCAGCAAAATATACAGTCTTATCAGGGATACGGCAATTCTGCAGAGTTCGCGTACAACCACTTGAAGAACCTGTATCAAGCAACAGACAGTGTTAACCAAAGTCGTCTCAGAATCCCAATTACTAGACCATTGGGATAAAAGGGCTTGTTTAAGTAGCGGGTCAGTGCGCCCATAACCCCCCAGGCAACCGTGCCTGTGACCCCAAGTCGGTTAATGGCGAAGTTGACAACGGTCGAAATGAAACTATCACAAGAGTAGATTAATCTTAGGTGCCATGGCTAGGTTTTCAGGAAGACGAGAGTAGTGAGGGAGAAGTGTCACCAACAAAAGAGGGTTTTCACTATAGAGCGAGCAGTACAAATATGCAAGAATGAAGAAAGGTGCACCACCAAACAGAAACTTCTATGACTACAGTATTCTACACTACAGGCAGTTACAAAACAATATATAGAGTTATATATTATTCTGACACCCCCCCATAAGTGCCTGTAGGGAAGAAAGTGCAGTCAACGCCCCCATAATGGGGTACACCATACAGGTGCAGCGGAAGAAACAGTGGCAGGCAAAAGCAGTGGTAACCGGTGCAAAAGTGGCAGAAACAGCTGTAGCCAACCCTCAGCCAAGGAAGAAGCAGTAACAGGTGTGGGAGGCGGCACGTCGCCTGAGGAGCAGGCTCTGTGGCTCCATCAGGCAGCAGGACAGCAGCGGCTTGACGGCAGCACCTGCAGGCCCCAGCAGCAGAAAACAGAAAACAGGGCAGGTGGCGACAGGGGCGACAGCTGGAGGTGCCAAAGTAGCAGCGGGCGGCAGCAGCAGATACCCGGCTGTCTTCCGCCACCCTCTCTCACCCTCCCCCCCACAGCTGCAAGCGCGGCAGTGAGAGAGAGGAGGGGGGACGGCTGTTGGTGCTGCAAAATCTCTCTCGCCAACCCCTCACACTCCACCCCATCCCCCACAGCGACCGGCGCTGCAGGGAGAGAGAGGAGAGAGGAGGGCGTCGGCGGGTTCCTGCAGGCGCGCTCCCGCCACTCCCTATGAGAAGAAGTGAACGAGAGAATGAATGAACTATGAACGAAGTGAGTACAAATAGGAAACCCTAATTGGGTTATACCCCCTATGGGATACCCCACAATAGCCTACACAAATAAGTAAGCTATAATGTTCTGACACACCCCCATAGGCAAAGTGGGGGAGAACAAGGGGTCACAAGACCAGTCAAGCAAAGCAACGCAAAGCTCAGGGTGGATCACAAAGTCACCACACATTCCGAGCACAAGTTCAAAGGCCAGAAGGCCAGTTCACATGCAAGATCACATATAGGTATACAAAAGGCTAAACAAGCAAGAGCAAGAGTATATATTGTCAGAATATTATCTTATTGTTCTAGCCTGTAGTGGGGTGCTCTATAGCGAGTACAACCCTTCTAGGGTTTGCTATTTGTATCCTCATTCTTGCTAGTTCAATCCTCTTTCTTCCTTCTAATTTTGACATGCTATCAGAGCAGGTCGATCCCCTTGGATCGATCCTGTGGGTGGGCTCACCACCTCGTTGCTTCCGCTGCAACTGCTACTGCTACTCTCTATGCCGCACGCCCCGTGGCGTGCGGCAGTTTTTTTTCTTCCCGCCACGTGCTCGGGGCGCATGGCGGTTTTCTGCCCACCGCGCGCTCAGTGCGTGCGGCGGTTTTCTGCCCACCGTGCGCCCCGAGGCGCGCGGCGGTTTCCTGCTTCGCGCGGCGGTATTCTGCACGCCATGCGCTCAGGACGCGTGGCGGTTTTCTGCCCACCGCGCACCCTGGGCGCACGCGGCGGTTTCGCGTTCCGTCGACCCGCACGCCCGTCCCCGTCGACCTGCGTGCGGCTCCTCGTCGCCCTTCGCGGCGTCCCCGTCAACCCGCGCGAGGCTCCCTGTCGCCCTTAGTGGCGGCCCC